GCCCGAGGGCCTCCAGCGGGTCACTGCCCCGTAGCCGCTGAGGCTCACCCTGCCCAGCCCTGTCCAGGGCCAAGCGGCTACAGGGTGTGGGTCCGTCCCTCAGTGTCCATCCCATCAGTGTCTCCGCTGGGCGTGGGGTGCAGACGGGGGAGCCCGGAGACCAGCCCCAGCCCCTGGCTGCCCCTTGGCCTGTGGGAAAAGCCCCCGCGGGGGGGCCCTTGCAGAGGAGGACCAGGCTCGGCGGGGGCGGCTCTCTGGCCACGCCGGCGCCGCCCTCGGGCGGGTGGCCTGGAACCCAGGAAGTGGCCCCTTGCCAATCACCACGTCCAGGTGCCGGGTCGTCCCTGGGCCCAGGGTCAGAGCAGGGGTGGACAGGGCCCCATGTGGACTTGGCCCCCCCTCTGCACCCGGGTTCCCCACTGACCTGTGAGGTCTCCATCAGCTGAAGGCTGGGCTGTCGCGGGGACCCCGTCTGCCTCAGGCACCTGGTGGGGCCCAGGCCAGGGGTTCCCTGCTGGGGTGGCTGAGCGCCCACACACAGTATGGACCCCGGCCAGACCCCCCAGCCCCTCACCACGCTCCACCCCGTGGCAAGGCCGCCCCCGTGAGCCGCCATCCCAACCTGTTCAGGCCGAGCTGTCCTGCCCAGACCCTCCCCTGGACCTGGGGCTGGAGGGTGGCCGAGGGCAGGCCGGGCGGCGCGCGGAGGGGCCCTGAGAGTTTTGGCCGGGAGCGGCGGGGCGGCCCGGGGCTGCGGTCTCAGCCGGGAAACCACGGCCGCCAGTGGTGTGCAGCGCTCCTTCAGAGGCCTGCAGCCCAGGGCGGCACAGCCGAGGCTGGCGGCCGACGCCTGCAGCGAGCCGGGGCGGGCAGGGCCGGTGGCCCGGATTCCCAGGCAGGGTCTGTGGGGTGGGGGGCTGCTGTGACGCAGGCGTCGCGTGGGAGTCCAGCAGCCCTGGAGTGGGTCAGGGTCTGCCGGGGCCCCGCGGGGCAGCTCCCCTCCACAGCTCCTCCCTGGGAGCTCGGGGTGAGGGGCCTGGCTCTGGGGGCTGGGTGGGGGAGCCCCCCTGCCCCCACAATGGCTCCCCCTTTGCCAGGTGCGGGGCCCCCAGCACGGGGCACCAGGACACCCTACTCCAGGCAGCTGGGTTCCTGCTACAGCACAGGGCTCGGGCCAGGGAGGGGCACCGGGGACAGAGCGGCCCCGGGGCCCCAGCGTCCTCCTCCTGCCCGTGACCCCTGTGACCCCCGGGGCCTCGGCGTCCTCCTCCTGCCCGTGACCCCCAGGGCCTCGGCGTCCTCCTCCTGCCCGTGACCCCCGGGGCCCCGGCGTCCTCCTCCTGCCCATGGACCCTCAGCCCCCGACGAGGGGCTGCCCTGTCTCCGTCTCTCAGGCCCTGGGCGGGAGGGCAGCTCCCACTCTCCTGCTCCTGGTGCAGGTGCTGCCCACAGGGGCCTGGCCGGGGGTCCTGCTATCGCCTGGCGTGGCCGCCCGCTGGCCCTGGCGCGTACACCTGGAGGAGCCGAGAAAGCCGGTGCCCACGGCAGGGTCAGCTGCTGGGGGCAGCGCTGGGGACAGGGCATAGGTGTAGAAGGCCACAGGCCCAGTGGCTGGGGAGAAGGCCCCGGCCTGTCCCCACCTGGGTCACCGAGCTGGGCGGAGCTCCCGGCCGCACTTTGGCCCCTTGGCCTGCAGCGGCTAGACGAGCCGGCCCGGGTGCTTGGCAACAGGTGAGCTGGTGCTCCTGGGGCCGCGGTGCCAGGGTCCGTGCCATGGAGCGGGCTCCGGGCTCTCCCCTGCCTCCAGGCCCCGTGTGTGCCCCGTGCCCCGGACGGGCCCTGGCTGTGTCCTTGGCATGCTGCCCACCTTGCCAAAACGCCCGGTGCATGGCTGGCGTCCGGGGGAGCTGCCTGGGTGCCGCGGTCTGGCTCAGTGGGCACTCCGCCCTCCCTGGAGCCAGGCAGCCTGGCCGCTCCAGGCCCGCCCAGCCAGGGGCCTCCTGCTTGGGCAGCTGCCCGGGGAGGGTCTTCGCAGCAGGGAGTCACGGCCACCCCAGGGCAGGGGCCCTGGTGCTCCCCGAGGCCGCCCTGTGCGGGCAGCGGAGAGAGCACTTCCTGTCTGTGCGGAGACGGCCGGCGCACATGGCCTGCCCCGGCTTCTCTGCCTGACGCCCGGAGTATCGGGGCCTCTCCCTGGCCTGGGCAGGCCACACCTGCCACCCACTCCCCTGCCCATAAGCAGAGTTGTTATGAACTTGGAGAACCCGGTTTTAAATTGGGCAAAAATAGCATCGCAGAGGACCCGGAAGATGGAGCGCGCAGGATTCGAGTTCCGGGTGTCCCTCGCGCATTGTGTGCGCTGTGCTGTCAGAGCAGCCCCGAGGGCGTGGACAGCGGCCACAGCCCAGCCCCGTCGAGGGACGGTGGACGGGGTAGGAAGCGCTCAGCCCCGCGTGGGAGGAGATTCCGGAAGCAGTGGGAGTGTGCGTGAAGGAGGCCGGGCGCAGAGCCGGCCCTGGGGGAGGCGGGGCCCTGGGTGCAGGACGGGGGCTCCCTGAGGGGCAGCGCCCCACTCTGACCGCAGGGCTCCGGGCGGGAGCCACACGCTTTCCACAGCGTGGAGGATGTGTGCCGCGCTCATTCAGGAAAGCAAAGTGGAAGAGGTCCCAGCTGGTCACGACTGACCACGTGCAAGTGACCATGTGAAAGTGGCCTGTGTCGGTGCTGAGATGAGGTGGGGGGCCCGAGACCTGGGGGGACCTGAGACAGACGTGGGGACCTGAGACAGACGTGGGGGGTCTGAGATGTGGGGGGACCTGAGACAGATGTGGCCACACCCATGGCGGGGGTCCAGCAGTGGGCTGGGGGCTGAGATGGGTGTGGGCGGCAGAGAGAATGGGGGGGGGGCCTGGACTCCAGCTTGCAGGCTCTGGGCCGCTTCCGCAGAGCTGACCCCTGGCCCTGCCCCCAGTCCCCCCTCTGGGTGTCCCTCACTTCTCTGCTGCTGTGTCTGCCCTGTCCATCACTCGTGTCCCCCTCATCTCTGCCAGGCCCCCCCACTCCCGGGGATCCCTGAGGGAGGAGCAGGCTGACGGGGGGTCCCATCCAGGGCACCCCAATGTCACAACTGCTGGGAGCCAGCCCAGCCTCGGTTTCTCTCCCAGTCACCACCCTCCCCCCCCAGCACTCTGCCCTGCTGGGCAAACAGACACTCCCACCCCTCCAGCCGCCCCCGCCTGCCGGATGTCCCCACAGGCTCAGCCTGGGCGTCACTGGAGCCCCGGGGCCAATAAAACCCACTGATGCGGACGGAGCCCCAGAGCGGCCGCCGCTCCCGCCCACAGCCCCGCACTGGCTCTGGCCGCCAGGGCGGGGCTGCGTCCTGGGACCCACTGTGGCTGCTCAGGGCTGTCTGCCCTGCCAGGCCTTTCTTGGGGGTCTGGGCACCGTCCATGCTGACCACGCCTCGTCCCTTGGACCCTCCTGAGACACCCCCGGCTCCGCCCCAGGCCTGCCCTGAGCGCTGATTCTGCCTCCTCAACCCCCCAGGAGCCCTCGGCCCGGGCTCAGCTCTGCTCGCCGTCACCGTGTCCAGTCCCCCCCCCCAGCCAGGATCAACCCCTGGAGGCAGGGCGGGGGCCCTGCACCTGCTGCTGTCCCCGCCCCGCCCCTCCCCCCAAGCTATCACACACGCTGTTCCCTGTCTGGGATGCTCCCCCCAGCTGGGATCCTCGGGACCCAACCCCACGTGGGCACACAGCACGTGGACCCACCATCTGTTCTCGGGCTCCGCCTGGCTGGGGCTGTGGCTGGGAAGACAGAGGCCCGGGCCCAGCCGCGGGGGCAACCTCTGAGCTCCCCGTGTGGGGGCTGCTGGGGACCCCGAAGAGGAGGCCACGTGGTGGGGAGGGCGGTGTGGGGATGTATGTGGCCCTGATGAAGATGGCCGTGGGTCAGGCGGCCTGCACGTGGCTGGGGAGCCTGGAGGGTGGGCGGGGGAGCAGGCCCTGGGCCAGGTCTGCAGCACGTTCGGGGCTCCAGGCTGCAGGGGGCGGGGGCTCAGTTCCCGACACTGCCCTAGCAGGCCGCCACATGGGGCGTGGTCAGCATCTTCTATGGCCTCCCCGGGTGGGTCCTCCAAGCTGCTGGCTGCCAGGGAGGAGGGGGCCTTGGTGAGGCGAGGAAATGGGGGGCAGAGAACCCAAGGACCCCCACCCCCACCCCTATGGGTCCCACAGCCAGGGCCACAGCAGGGCAGCACACAGACACATGTGTGCACACACAGGCACAGGTGTGCACACACAGACACAGATACGCACACACAGACACATATACGCACAGACACAGGTATGCACACACAGACACATAAACGCACACACAGGCACAGGTGTGCACACACAGACACAGGCATGCACACACACAGGTACGCACACACAGGCACATGTATGCACACAGACACAGGTATGCACAGACACAGGTACACACACAGACACATATGCACACAGACACATGTGTGCACACACAAACACATATACGCACACACAGGCACATGTACGCACACAGACACAGGTGTGCACACACAGACACAGGTATGCACACACAGGCGCACACGGGTGCTGCTGGCCTCTGCACCCCTGCAGGGCACTGCTGGCGGCCAGGTCCTGGGTGACAGGCACACTGGATGTCAGATCAATCAGGAGGAATTGATCCGGGCGGATTTCCGAGCCATCTGCTTGTTCCCCAAAGCATCTGAGCGGAGGGACGTTGTGTTCAGTCTCCGGGCAGGGAGCAGGCAGACCAGAGTCCCCTGGCCTGGGCCCCCGGGATGCCGGTCCCTGCGGGGGAGCCTCAGACACGGCCTCGTGGAGACCCCATGCCCACAGGGCCCAGAGCTGGAGGGGTGGGCTCCTGGGGACAGCGCCCCCTGGGCCCCGTGCCACCCCGGTCGTTGGCCCTGTCCCCCCCGCCGCCGTCACTGGCTACAGGCAGGGGTGTGGCCTTGTCTGGCGCTGCCCAGGCCGGGGCGGGAGGGTGTCTGCTTTGCTGCCCTCGGCTCCGGGAGCAGTGTTTGCTTTGGGAAAGAATCAAACATTTATTTCCAAGTCGTCCAGGGAGCAGGTTGTCCAGCTCGCGGGCTCTCCTCACACCTGCGTCCGGGGTCAGTGCTGAGGCCAGCACTGGGCAGTGACCCCGTCTGTCCTCCTGGGGGCACCAGGCAGACCACAGACGCTCAAGCGGGGCCTCTGGGGCCAGGCCCAGAAGGCTCGGGCACACAGGCGCGGGGCAGCGGGGCTGGGGACGCAGGACTCCTCGGGGGCCCTGCGTCTGCTCCCTATACAGACACAGCCCTCGGCCGCCCCAATCTGCCCGTCCCCCCAGCCGCTGTCCCGAAGCAGGAGACAGTGCCCTGCCCTCCACACGCCCCCTGCCCCCGCCGGCTGGACCTCAGCAGAAGTGAGGCCTCCTGTACGTCCCCACTCGCCCTGCCCCACCGCCCCTCACCCACCGGGCACTCAGACGCAGGTGGCGGCTGAGCCAAGCGGGGAGCCCCCTCCCAGGGCGGCACTGGTGCTGGCCAGGGATGCACAGCCACCCTGTGCAGGACGCCCAGTTGCACCTCGTGTCCCAGCAGACGGCTCCCCTCTGGGCGTCCTTCTCCTGGATCCAGAGGCCCGGGCTGGGGGTGGGAGGGGAGGGTGGAGACACCCTGGGGAGAGCCCGTCACAACCCCCACCTTCCCGGCCCGAGAGCAGGCTGAGGGCGCTGCCCCTCACGGCCTGGTCTGGGAACCCCCTCCACACGGCATCCAGGCTCGCGGGCCCCAGGCCGGGGGCAGCTCAGCCCCTACGTCCCGGGGTGGTGGGCACAGGCAGGAGACAGGGCAGCGCCCACCATGGGCTCCAGGCCGCCATGGCCATCACAGCCTGCTGGTCTGCATGAGCCCGTTGGCCTCTGGGCCAGGGGCGGGCAGCGTGGCCTCCCGCGGCCGCGCACCCTTCTCCACGGGGTCCGCGTCCTCGGCGCCGTAGCCCCTATGGAGGCACAGAACCTTCCGGAAGCTCTGGCGGAAGTTGTCGGAGAGGAAGCCGTAGAGCACGGGGTTGGCGCAGCTGTTGGCGTAGGACAGCACGACCACGGAGAAGTAGAGGCCGGCGGAGGCGGGGCCCTCGGGCAGCGTCACGGCCAGGTTCACGATGTTGAGCAGGAAGAAGGGCAGCCAGCAGCCCACGAACACCAGCACCACCACCACCACCATGCGCGTGAGCCGGCGCTCTGAGCGCCGCCGCCGCGGGCAGCCCGCCCGCACGCCCGACGCCTTGACCTTGACCACGATGAGCAGGTAGCACAGGCAGATGACCAGCAGCGGCCCGAAGAAGCCCAGCACGGACGTGTAGGCGATGAACGCGGCGCCCCACAGCCCCACGGGCTCCGGCCAGCTCAGGTTGCAGGTGCCCCAGCCCTCCTGCACTTCGGCGAACAGCGGCAGCGGCAGGGACATGAGCAGCGAGAAGGCCCAGACGGCGGCGCTGGCCAGCTTGGCCACCTGCGGGCGGCGCCAGCGGGCCGAGCGCAGCGGGTGCACCACGGCCAGGTAGCGGTCGACGCTCATGACGGTCAGGCAGAAGATGCTGGTGAACTGGTTGATGCCGTCCAGCGTCATGACCAGGCGGCACAGGAAGGGGCCAAAGGGCCAGTAGGAGACGGCGTTCTGCGTGGCCAGGAAGGGCAGCCCCAGCATGAGCAGCACGTCGGCCACGGCCAGGTTCAGGATGTACACGTTGGTGACCGTGGCCATCTTGGCGTGGCGCAGGACCACGTAAATGACCAGCGTGTTGCCGCCCAGCCCCACGGCGCACACCAGCAGGTACAGCACGGGCACCAGCACCGCCCGCACCCCGGCCGAGGGCGCCAGTCCCGCCAGTGTCCCGTTGTGGCTGCCTGCAGGGGCGGCCACCGAGGAGGAAGAGGAGGGGGAGGGGGAGGAGGCGTTCCAGCCCGGTGCGGCGGCGGCCGGGAACAGGGGCTCCATGGCGGCCCTGGGGCCAGCGCCAGCCCGCGTCTGTCTGCAAGAGAAGAGGGCGGGGCGGGGCGGTGAGGGGAGCGTCCGCCCAGGCCCCGCGGCCCCCGCCCAGCGGCCAGCGGGGTTAGTCGCGCTCAGCTTGGCTCGGCCGGGAATCACATTAAGCAAATTGTCTGGAAAGCGATCCAGGAGAGGAAGGAGCCCTGGCCCGCCGGGACGGGGGCAGCGGGCCGGGCCGCCAGCCCAGACGGAAGCCGTCTGTCCGTGCGAGGTGGCTGCCCGGCGACTGCCCCTCCCCGCGGCTCCTCGGAGCCCTGCGGGGAAGGGGCCCAGGAACAGCAGGTGCCAGCACCCGGGGGCCCACGGAGCACGGGCAGAGGGGACGGGTAGGACAGCGTGGGACAGCCCTGAACCGGCCGGCCCCCCGGGGTGCCCAGCCTGTGCCAGCTGCGGTGGCCCCGCCAGCGTCTCCGGCCTCCAGGGCATGTGTCCACGCCCCCCGCAGGCCCTGCTCCAGGGCATGTGACCATGGGCTACGGGACCAGGGGACAGCAGGACGGGGAGGTCGTCACAGCTTCCGGGGCGCAGGTGGACACTGCTCTGGGGCACTGGCCGGGGCGGGGTCCGACCCCACACGAGACGTCTCTCAGGCCCCTGGCAGACAAGGTCCCTCCCACCCCAGGCGGGCAGCAGCGAACACAAAGGAACACGTGCAGCGCATGCGGGGGGGGCCGCGGGGGGCGGGGTGGACGGGGTGTCCCCCCCACAGGGACAAAGGGGAAAGAGGCAGACGCAGAGGCGCCACGGGCCCGGGAGAGAGTGGTGAGGTCGCGCCCAGTACAAGTGGTGCGTCAGAGGTCACGTGTGCCAGAGGTCGCGCCCCTCAGACAGGGGTCACATGTGTCAGAGGTCTTCCTGTCAGACGGGGGTCACGTGTGTCACAGGTTGCACCCCTCAGATGGTGGTCACGTGTCAGAGGTCACACCCCTCAGATGGGGGTTGTGTGTCAGGTTGCACCCCTCAGAGACAGAGGTCACGAGTGTTGGAGGTCGCGCCCCTCAGAAAGGGGTCATGTGTGTCAGAGGACATTCCTGTCAGATGGGGGTCACGTGTGTCACAGGTCGTGCCCCTCAGACAGGGGTCATGTGTCAGAGGTCATGCCCCTTAGGAGTTATGAGTGTCAGAGGTCACACCCCTCAGACGGGGGTCACATATCACACCCCTCAGACGGGGTGATGAGTGTCTAAGGTCACGCCCCTCAGACGGGGGTCACGAGTGTTGGAGGTCATGCCCCTCAGATGGGGGTCACGTGTACCAGGTCACATCCCTCAGATGGGGGTCACGTCAGGTCGCGTCCCTCAGATGGGGGTCATGTGTGCCAGGTTGCACCCCTCAGACGGGAATCACGTGTGCCAGGTCGCGCCCCTCAGAGGGGGTCACGAGTGTTGGAGGTTACAACCCTCAGACAGGGGTCACGTGTCAGAGGTCATACCCCTTAGGAGTCATGAGTGTCAGAGGTCACAACCCTCAGATGGGGGTCACATGTCAGGTCACGTCCCTCAGACGGGGTCATGAGTGTCGGAGGTCACGTCCCTCAGATGGGGGTCACGTGTGCCAGGCCGCGCCCCGCAGGCAGCTGTGACGCGGTGGGCGCCCGTCTCAGCCACTGTGGGACTTGGCTGTCTGGAGCTCTCACGGAAACCGCGCAGGGCCCAGCCCAGGCTCGACCTCCCCACGGCAGCCGCCGCCCCCGCCCCCGCCCCGCTCCCGAGGGCTGCCCCGCGACACCCCTGCTCCCTGCTCCCTGGGAGCCTGCAGGGACGGCTCCGCGTCTGGGTGCCAGTGGGAGTGGGTGTGGCAGTGGGAGCGACCCGCGGACAGGCGCTCGGTCTCCAATGAATGAATGAATGAATGAATGTTTGAATCGCGCCACGCCGGGGTGCCTCAGGAGAGGCAGGGACGAGCTACTAGGACGTAAACCCGGTTCCTAGGGGGACAGCGAGCAGGTGTCTTTCCTGAAAGTACAAACCTTGAGTGTGAAAAGCAGTCACTTGGACGAAGAAAAACACAAGTCAGGCTCGGGAGGTGCACAGCGCCCGAGCAGCGGACAGGGCCTGAGCCGGCCGGGCAGACCTGGGGGGGCTGTGGGGGCCTGAGCCGGCCGGGCAGACCTGGGGGCTGTGGGGGCCTGAGCCGGCCGGGCAGACCTGGGGGCTGTGGGGGCCTGAGCCGGCCGGGCAGACCTGGGGGCTGTGGGGGGCCGGGCAGACCTGGGGGGGCTGTGGGGGCCTGAGCTGGCCGGGCAGACCTGGGGGCTGTGGGGGCCTGAGCCGGCAGACCTGGGGGCTGTGGGGGGCCGGGCAGACCTGGGGGCTGTGGGGGCCTGAGCCGGCCGGGCAGACCTGGGGGCTGTGGGGGCCTGAGCTGGCCGGGCAGACCTGGGGGCTGTGGGGGCCTGAGCCGGCCGGGCAGACCTGGGGGCTGTGGGGGGCCGGGCAGACCTGGGGGGGCTGTGGGGGCCTGAGCTGGCCGGGCAGACCTGGGGGCTGTGGGGGCCTGAGCTGGCCTGGCAGACCTGGGGGGGCTGTGGGGGGCCTGAGCAGGCCCTGGGGGGCTGTGGGGGGCTGGGCAGACCTGGCAGACCTGGGGGGGCTGTGGGGGGCCTGAGCCGGCCGGGCAGACCTGGGGGCTGTGGGGGCCTGAGCCGGCCGGGCAGACCTGGGGGCTGTGGGGGGCCGGGCAGACCTGGGGGGGCTGTGGGGGCCTGAGCTGGCCGGGCAGACCTGGGGGCTGTGGGGGCCTGAGCTGGCCTGGCAGACCTGGGGGGGCTGTGGGGGGCCTGAGCAGGCCCTGGGGGGCTGTGGGGGGCTGGGCAGACCTGGCAGACCTGGGGGGGCTGTGGGGGGCCTGAGCAGGCCCTGGGGGGCTGTGGGGGGCCTGAGAGGGGCGGGGCAGACCTGGGAGGCTGTGGGGGGCCTGAGAGGGGCTGGGCAGACCTGGGGGACTGTGGGGGCCTGAGCCGGGCAGACCTGGGGAGGCTGTGGGGGGCCTGAGAGGGGCTGGGCAGACCTGGGGGGCTGTGGGGGCCTCCCACAGGTGGGGTGAGACAAGATCTCTGCTTAAAAAGGCGAGGTGGGAGTTGGGGGTGACCAACTTCCAGGCAACGCCCAGGAGTCCCCGTGGCCCTGGGCGAGGGGCGGGCAGGTCTGGCTGGAGCCTGCTCCCACAGGGGCCGCCGGGCGGAGGTGGGCAGAGCTGGCCGGGCACCCCACCCGCTCCGGGAGCACATGCGGTTCCAGCCCGGCTCTGCTCCCTGCTGCCGGGCGCCCTGGGCGGCAGCGCTGACGGCCCTGCCACTCCCGTGGGAGGCACCGGCTCGGGCTCTGGCCTGGCCCAGCTGTGACTGCAGTGGGCGCTTGTGGGTGAACCAGGGACAGGAACTCTGTGTCCCTGTGCTCTCCAATAAACACAAAGCTCAGGGGAGAAACCAGAGTTCAGGGGTCTCAGATGAGGCCGAGCCGCCGGGTGGCTGTGCAGTGGGCAGGGGGCGGTGTGGGGGTCCAGGCAGACAGGACGCACGGCCCGAGGGCCGCTCCCTGAAGGGGGGCTCCTCACGCAGGTCCTGGCACCCCGGCTCCGCCGTCCAGGCCCCGGCTCCACCGGCCAGGCCCTGGCTCCGCTGTCCAGGCCCCGGCTCCACCGGCCAGGCTCCTGTGGCTCTGAGACCTCAGGGCAACCGGGCCCAGGAACAGGTCTGCGGGGGGCACGGCCATGCGAGGGGGCCGCCACACTCAGACGGGGCCCTGCACCTGTTTTCCTGGGGGAGGGGCTTTTTGGCTGGGAGACAGCCCCCCCGCAGGGCTGTGCTCAGCCAGCAGGTCCCCCACACCCGCCCTGACACTCAGGACCCTGGGCTGCCCCCCCAACCCTCCTGGCACAACCCTTGTGTGCCTGAGCCTGGCTGCTGGGGGTGGGGGCTGCCGAACATGGGCAGGGGGCAGAGAGTGGGGCGGTGCCTGGAGTTCAAGGCACACCCCCCAGCGCTGCCCCGGCTCTGGCCCCTCAAGAGGGCCCTGGGGGCGGGGCCAGCTGGGGCCCAGGCCACCCCTCCCCGCTGGCCTGGCAGGACAGCCCAGCCTGGAGAGGCTGAAGACGGCTCTCTGGGCCTAGCATCTCGCCCTGGGGCCCACACCCCACCAGGGGGCCACGCGGGGTCCCCGGGGAAGGTGGAGGGGATTCCTGCCTCAGACACCAGGCTCCACCCCACCCAAGGGCCTGGCCCAGGCCCCCTCCCGGAAAAGCCCCCTCCCGGCACAAGCCCACTGAGCGCTGCGGGGCCCACCTCGGTCGGAGCGATGGCAACCCCTAGCCCGTCCCCCACACCCCAGGGGCCCTCAGCAGCCTGTAGTCAGCAGCAGCACCCTCCCCACAAGGGGAAACTGAGGCAGGGGTGGGCTGGCCTGAGTACCCCAGCTCCTCACAGCCCGTGTACTCTGGAAACCCCGGTCACCGTTTCAGACCCGAGGCCGGCCGCTGGTCCTCGCCCCGCCCCCCGGCCCCATGTTCTCTCCCAAGACACCAGGGAACCAGCGCTGCCTTCGGGTTGCTGGGCTCGCCAGGCGGCGGGCAGGCCCCCAGGACCCTGTGACGGTCCACAGCGCCCTCCCTTCCCGGGAGGGTTGCCCGGAAGTCGGGGGCTGCAGGGTGCAAGCGCCCTCCCGGCGGCCGGCGGAGCCGGCGGTCAGCGCACACCCGACCGCCTCGCGCCCAACCGCGGACGGCCCCCCCCCGCCCCACCGGACAACCTGCGGCGCTCGCCCTGGCCCCTGCTGCCCGCACCCTCCCCAGCCCTGGAATCCCCCCAGTCGGGCCACGACCCCGCGCGCGCGAGGGCAGGGGGCGCTCACCTGCGCGGCGGCCCGCGGAGCCGGTCGGGTGCTGCGCTCGCTCCGGGCGCCGGGCGCCTGCGGGGCGGGGAGGGGCGCGTGGGGCGGGGGCGCCCGCGGGGCGGGGCGGGGCGCGTGGGGCGGGGGCGCCCGCGGGGCGGGGCGGGGCGGGGCGCGTGGGGCGGGGGCGCCCGCGGGGCGGGGCGGGGCGCGTGGGGCGGGGGCGCCTGCGGGGCGGGGCGGGGCGGGGCCGTGGGGCGGGGGCGCCCGCGGGGCGGGGCGGGGCCGTGGGGCGGGGGCGCCTGCGGGGCGGGGCGGGGCGCGTGGGGCGGGGGCGCCTGTGGGGCGGGGCGGGGCCGTGGGGCGGGGGCGCCCGCGGGGGCCGGGGCCGGGGGCGGGGCCCGGGAGCTTCACCTGCCTGGCGGCCCGCGGCGCCCAGACTCCGGAGTGCGTCGCGCTGGCTCCTCCTAACGGTCCAGGCCCCGGCGCGTACTCTTGCCGCCCGCCGAGTCAGGGAAAATGGGGTGCGCCCGCCCCAGGAGAAGCACCGGGCACTCGGGCTTCCCAGGGATGAGAAGGGGTTGTGCCGGGGACGGCGGTGGGGTTGGAGACCTCGGGCACCTGCCCGGCTCTGGCCCTCACGGGGGTCTCGCTTTCCCGCCAGCTCTCTGGGGCTCCCAGGAGTACGCGGGGTTCAGCCGACACCTGCAGTGTGGGCAGGCGGCCCGGAGGGTGTGGACAGGAGCCGAGGGTGGGCAGGGAGAGACCGGCTGGGCGAGGCTGGGAGCCCCGGGCCAGGCCCTGGGGTGGTGCCCACGGGTGCTGGCGGCTCCCAGGAGGCTGGGTCCCTGGGGGGGTCTGTTGTGGGGGTCGGGAATGGCGGCTCGTTGGTCCCTGGCTTCTGCCCTGCTGCCCGGCAGGGCCCGCGGTGCCTGCCCTGGAGCCGACGCTGCAGTGCCGGGGCCTCTGGCCTCTGACCTGGCCGGGGACAGGGGACAAGGGGACAACGGGACAAGGGGACAAGCAAGCCGAGGGCAGCTGCCCCCCACCCGGCCCCAGCAGCCCCCTGCAGCATCTGTGGACAACATGGACGGCTCTGTCCATGGGCTCAGAACCCGCAGAGCCGACGGGGCCGGTTTGTAAAGGGGGCGTTTCCGACCGAGCAGTGGAGCTGGAGAGAGAAGCAGGCACACGGGCCCTGGGCGGCGAGCGGCCGGGGGCGGGAGTGGTGCCGGGAGCCGAGCCGTCTCTGCCTCGCTCTCTAGCCCCCAGCACAGCCAGCGGCCGGGGGTGGGGTGGGGAGATGGGGCAGACAGTGTCCAGCCGAGGCGGCTTTGCCGACAGCGGCGAGGCCACGGAGAGCAGACGGGAAGCTGTGGAGGCTGAGCAGACGCTGTGGGGGAGACCCTGTGCTGGGGGCCCCGGGGGTGACACTGCCCTGACCTCCTCAGCCCCCCGCCCACGGAGGCCGCTCCCGGGCCAGGCCTGGAGGGCTGCCCCGGGAGAGTCACCCCTGCTCCCCAGCCAGGTCCCCAAGCCCCGTCCCCAGCCCACTCAACCTCACCCACCAGGGGCTCCCTCCAACCTGCCGCTGCCTGCAGGTGCCTGGGCACAGCTGGCGCCTCCTGGGAATGCAGGAGGGACACGGCCCAGCAGCCTGCCCGGGCCCCTGAGACCGGAACCCCGGGAGCCCTGATGGCCAGAGGTGGCCCGGCTGCCCCGAGCCCCTCCCGCACCCCAGCCGGCAGGATCCAGCTAGGTGAAGTGGGCGGGACGCTCAGACAGTGCCGATGGGTGTGGCCCAGGAGCCATGGCAACGGGACAGTGGCCACATGGACTCCCACGGGGACCCGTACCCTAGCCGTGACCCACAGGGGCCTGCGACACCCCAGGTGCAGCTGCCTGCTCTGAGACAAAGGCCGGTCCAGTGACCCCTGGACTTCAGCCCCAGGCTAGAGCACCCCATGAGGGAAGGAGGGGGTGTGGCCCTGTCCGGCCGCCTCCCGTCACCCACGACACGGCCTGGGGCTCGCCCACCTCCGTTTCTCCTGTGAATGCCCTCAGTTCAGATGACCCTTCCTCCAGGAAGCCCCTCTGGGTCTCGGCCGTCTCAGGGCCCAGCAGGCAACAGCTTCCTGGGGCACCCCTGCCCACGCCCCTGTGCACTCCTGCCCACACCCCTGTGCACCCCTGCCCACACCCCCAGGACACCCTGCACACGCCCCCAGGACACCCTGCCCACACCCCTGTGCACCCCTGCCCACGCCCCTGTGCACCCCTGCCCACACCCCCAGGACACCCCTGCCCACGCCCCTGTGCACCCCTGCCCACACCCCTGTGCACCCCTCCCCACGCCCCCAGGACACCCCTGCCCACACCCCCCTTTGCACCCCTGCCTGTGGGGAGCAATCCGGACTAGACTAAGTTACTCGAATTAAGACTTATTCTATGCATCTGCTCTCCCACAATATGGCGCTGGGAGAGAACAGCTTCCGCGCAGCTGCCTCCAGTTCAACCAATTAACTGTAGGACTTGCTCCTGATTGGAGAGCAGCCAAGTTGGGATTGGCGGAGGAGGACTATAAAGGAGGAGAGAGACGGCATGCACGAGGAACATCTATGGGGAACATCTAAGGGAACCCGTGCAGCCCCCGAGAGAACCGGCCGGCAGTGTGCCGCTCCCCTGCGGAAGTGGGGAATGCGGCCAGGGGGAACTGCCCTTCCACGGAGGTGGAAGGGATAGTAGCCAACCCGGGAAGAACCAGCAGCAAACCCGGGGAGGGCCGAGCAGACGAGAGAACAGCGCAGGGTCCTGTGTCGTTCCTCCACGAAGAGGGGGAGCGACACCTGCCCACGCCCCCAAGGCACCCTGCCCACACCCCCAGGATACCTCTGCCCACGCCCCCAGGACACCCTGCCCACACCCCTGTGCACCCCTACCCATGCCCCCAGGACACCCTGCCCACGCCCCTGTGCACCCCTGCCCACGACCCCAGGGCACCCCTGCCCACACCCCTGTGCACCCCTGCCCACGACCCCAGGACACCCTGCCCACACCCCTGTGCACCCCTGCCCACGCCCACAGGGCACCCTGCCCATGCCCCTGTGCACCCCTGCCCACGACCCCAAGGCACCCTGCCCACAACCCCAGGGCACCCCTGCCCACGCCCCCAGGACACCCTGCCCACACCCCTGTGCACCCCTGCTCACACCACCAGGGCACCCCTGCCCACGCCCTCAGGACACCCCTGCCCATGCCCCCAGAGCACCCCTGCCCACACCCCTGTGCACCCCTGCCCATGCCCCTGTGCACTCCTGCCCACGCCCCCAGGATACCTCTGCCCCCGCCCCCAGGACACCCTGCCCACGCCCCTGTGCACCCCTGCCCATGCCCCTGTGCACCCCTGCCCACACCCCTGTGCACCCCTGCCCATGCCCCTGTGCACCCCTGCCCACAACCCCAAGGCACCCTGCCCACACCCCCAGGGCACCCCTGCCCACGCCCCTGTGCACCCCTGCCCACACCCCTGTGCACCACTGCCCACAACCCCTGTGCACCCCTGCCCACAACCCCAAGGCACCCTGCCCACACCCCCAGGGCACCCCTGCCCACGCCCCTGTGCACCCCTGCCCACACCCCCCTGTGCACCCCTGCCCACACCCCCAGGGCACCCCTGCCCACACCCCCAGGGCACCCTGCCCACATCCCCAGGGTACCCTGCCCACGCCCCTGTGCACCCCTGCCCATGCCCCTGTGCACCCCTGCCCACACCCCTGTGCACCCCTGCCCATGCCCCAGGGCACCCTACCCACACCCCCAGGGCACCCTGCCCACACCCCTGTGCACCCCTGCCCACGCCCCTGTGCACCCCTGCCCACAACCCCAAGGCACCCTGCCCGCACCCCCAGGGCATCCCAGCCCACGCCCCTGTGCACCCCTGCCCACACCCCTGTGCACCCCTGCCCACACCCCCCTGTGCACCCCTGCCCACACCCCCAGGGCACCCCTGCCCACACCCCCAGGGCACCCTGCCCACATCCCCAGGGTACCCTGCCCACGCCCCTGTGCACCCCTGCCCACACCCCCAGGGCACCCCTGCCCACAACCCTGTGCACCCCTGCCCACACCCCTGTGCACCCCTGCCCACAACCCCAAGGCACCCTGCCCACACCCCCAGGGCACCCCTGCCCACGCCCCTGTGCACCCCTGCCCACACCCCCCTGTGCACCCCTGCCCACACCCCCAGGGCACCCCTGCCCACACCCCCAGGGCACCCTGCCCACATCCCCAGGGTACCCTGCCCACGCCCCTGTGCACCCCTGCCCATGCCCCTGTGCACCCCTGCCCACACCCCTGTGCACCCCTGCCCATGCCCCAGGGCACCCTACCCACACCCCCAGGGCACCCTGCCCACACCCCTGTGCACCCCTGCCCACGCCCCTGTGCACCCCTGCCCACAACCCCAAGGCACCCTGCCCGCACCCCCAGGGCATCCCAGCCCATGCCCCTGTGCACCCCTGCCCACACCCCTGTGCACCCCTGCCCACACCCCCCTGTGCACCCCTGCCCACACCCCCAGGGCACCCCTGCCCACACCCCCAGGGCACCCTGCCCACATCCCCAGGGTACCCTGCCCACGCCCCTGTGCACCCCTGCCCACACCCCCAGGGCACCCCTGCCCACAACCCTGTGCACCCCTGCCCACACCCCTGTGCACCCCTGCCCATGCCCCAGGATACCTCTGCCCACGCCCCCAGGACACCCTGCCCACAACACCTGTGCACCCCGCCCACACCCCTGTGCACCCCTGCCTACACCCCCAGGGAACCCCTGCCCACGCCCCCAGGGCACCCTGCCCACACCTTGTGCACCCCTGCCCACACCCCAGGGCACCCCTGCCCACACCCCTGTGCACCCCTGCCCAGGTGCCTCTCCACCCCCTACTGGGAAGAGGAGGCCAGCCTGTCTGGGACAGAGTGGTGAGCAGGTGGGGGACCTGCGGGTGAGGCTGTGGCCGGGGAACGAGGCAGGTGGGATCAGAGCCGCCCTGGCGGAGGCCGGGAGGCGG